ATGTAAAGTCAAGAACGTTCCCACAAAAGAACGAAACGGGAATAAAACTATTGAGAGCATTTGGAACGGGAACAAAATGAGAACAAAAGGTGCGGGAATGTTTCCGTAAAGACAAATATGCTAACAAAACCCCCTGGAACGTTCTAAAGAAGAACAGAATGAGAACGAAACTTTCGGGAACGTTTCTAATGAGAAAAAAATTAGAAAGAAAGTATGTAAACCGTTTTCAAGTAGGATCAAATAAGAACAAAAGTCTGGGAAACGTTCTTCTAAAGAAACAAAACAAGAACAAAAATTTTGAGAGTTTTGTTTGCGTTTTTCAACGTTCTTGGGAACAAAACTACCAGAACGACATTTAGTTTCAAGCATAACTGTTATTCTCGGTGCCTGTAAAATACATACTTTTTTTTTTGCTCGAAGTTTCTTGTAGGTTTTTGCTTTTAATTTTAATTTTAAAATGCATACATAACTGGTATGGTTTCTGTTGTGGCAGTCTAAACGTCCCTAGGCATAATTAAAAATTTAAAAATTTCGAAAGAGTGTTATCGTTTCACACTTTAACTTGTTTATAATTTAGCTAAATTAATTTTTTCGAACAGCTAGCAATCCTATTAATAATATTTTCAAACTACAATCTTCTTAAGCCTCTTTCGTCTGACACACATATTGTTAAACTTATTCAAATTCAATAAATTCCTTAACTAAAAGTGAATTCAATTTTTGAAGAAGTAATAATACATTTAACCTAATTGATGTGAATTTTTTAATAGGTGGCAACCTGATCATGATCACATAGACTACATAGAGTTTAGTGGTAACAAACTTTAAGCAACTTTAATTTATAACTGTACGGAGATTATCCTAACCTTTTCAACGTCTATGTTCTTTTGAAGCACAAATGCATTTAGAAACATAATTTTCATTTAAATATGCTCTAACTGCTAGAAGCGATAATAAAATAAAATAGATTTTTAAATAATTTATGGAAAAAAACGAAAAGTATTCATGAAACCACACCAATAAATATAATCAACAAGCGAAATGTGGCAAAACAGAAAAAAAAAATCTTTAATGACCAAAGGAATTATTTGACCAGTAATCACAGTGAAAATGCTTAACTGTTTATGCTGAATAAATATAATGAAAGTAAATTAATGGCAAAAATGTGTAGACAAGCACGTATCGGAACAAATACCACACAAGTGTTTATTTAATCAAACACGCACACGCACACGCCACTTTCTCTCTAGCTAAGCAGAAACATCCCAGCCAACAGAGAAGCGTTACTTTTACCGACTGGGCGGTGTAGTAAATTTTTCGTTTCCGGAAACGTTCAGAAAACGACTTTAATTTTCTTATCTGAAAAACGTTCGATAAGATAACGTCATTGGAAAGCAACAATTTTTTTTTTTAAAATTTGCATATTTGAAAGCATGTGGAATATGTAGGCCGTGGGTGAGTGTGCAGAGGAGCGTGATACTATTTGTTAGCTTTCAGGAGGTGCCGGGTTCGAATGCTGATAGACGAAATAAAAAGAGTCAGAAGATTTGTTTTTTGCCGAACTATGAGTAACCATCTGTGAAGTGCAGAAGGAAATCATTTTGAACGAAAAATTCAATCAGAAAAAGAGCCAAAAACATACTCGTTTCGCAACCATTTTCGGTGATTTTCTGCGCACAATACATACGTTTCTATGGCACTCTTCGGTGGAAAAGCGGGTCGTCAAAGTGTGCGAAAATGAAATTGGTAAACTGACCAAAATCCGCGCTTCATCCGCTTTTGTTTCCTTTTTCGGCTCCATTTTCGAATTTTTTGCTGACTGGGTTGATGATACACACACACACACACCCGAACAAATTAGACACTAACCAACTGCGGATGCGTCGAGTCGGTCACCCAACCAACTACCAATTGGCAACTGTATTGTCTGTCGTCTACCATTAGGCGCACGACACAGGCTTAAACGTGACAATTGTTGTACAATTTTTGGAACCCGCAAATAATTTGTAAATATTGACAATATCGTGTTATTCAATATGCGTATGTGGTCACCGTGGTTTTATGACAGCCAAATATTGGCAAAGTTCATTTCACTAATTTTCATTTCGACCATTGTCACATAACTAATGGAATTTAATTATAAAATAAATTAAATGCTATTTTGGCTGCGTGTTGGATATTATTAACATGCAATAGCTGGAGGGGTAAGTAAGCATTTAGTTATGTCGACTCACTAGGAAAATTTAACTGCAAATCTTTAGTTGGTAAATTTCCGGTTACGCCCTGGAACATATTTAATCAAATCATATGAAATAGTTTAAGTATTATAGAAGAAATATTCCCACAGAGCAGTATGAATGTTGAGTACCGGGAATTGGTAAAATATATTCTTATCTGGTAGCCTTTTATCAATGGGAATTAGAAAAATGATAACTTCCATCTGTCAAATTCAAATTAGGTACGCCGATCTCTCCCTTTGTTTACGGTTCTAACTATTTAAAAGCAGACGCTACAAAAAATCAAAAATGAGAAATTTATTAACTTTTCCCTTGTAGAGGAGGCTCGGGAAAAATATAAATGAAAACAACCGCAATACTTCTTGTTTTGATAATTTAATCTGGCTAGCATTTTTTCGCAAAAGGCTACCAGAAATTAGTGCTTGCGTAAATTAAAAATACCATTTTTATATTCAAATAGCAAAAGTCTACAAAAATCTAAATTATTTACCAAACTGTTTGCTTTTATGTCCCATAAATACAACAACCAAGCCGCATAAATACCTACGTGTTGAAATTGATAATTGATTTTCAATTCTATGTGTAATTTCGTTCGATTCACAGCATTTGAATTAAAACTTAACAAAAAATTTTAAAATATTTTTCGATTTATCGCGCAAATCAGAACTCATGAAGACAAAGCATTTAATTTGTTTATTTACACACATACGTACATATGTATGTATGGTTTTAGGCATTTATTTTTGTTAAATTTTACTTTTTATTTACATAACTATTTACATATATCACGCGTATTCATTTTTACTATGGCAATTATTATTTATTTTACGCTTTTCTGCCAATTCGCCATTTTAAGTTTTCATCACTTTACAACTACATATATTATGTAAATTGTAACAAATTATCGTTACCCAAAGCGATATAGTTGACATTATTTGCGCGCGTTGAAAAGGCATGTTTGCACAAAAGGGCATTATAAACAACTATGACAGCCAATGTTTACTTTATATATGTATGTAATTAAATATTTATTGTTTTTCAATACCCCAAAAAAATGCACAATTTTTGAAGCGCGAGGAAAATACTTTTGTGACATAACATATGTACATAAATACTAGGCTTGCCGAGCTTTTGCACTAAAGAACGAAAAAGCTAGCTAGACCTTTTAGTTGAACTAGTTCGCTACTTTGTTCAATAAAGTGTACTAAAATACTAAACCTTTCTGTGGCAACACTGCCATAAAAATGAGAATAAACTGTTTCAATACGTATAGCAGACAACTCGCATCTTGGTCAAATGAGAATTTTGAAACAGCTGATCGGAGTTCGCAATTTGCTTTTTTAAGTTTTACTAGTGAAACTGATCATGTGTGTTTCTTTCAGATGTCAAACCGAAGTACAATGTGGAAGCATTTTAAAGAAAGTTGTGATGAGAAGAAAACTAAATGCAAGTACTGCCGAGTTTGCATACGTATTGCGGATGGCTTGGACATTTAAAGCGGCATTTAAAAACTAACTACGACGAAAAGGTAATTCTGTGCTAGAGCCCGGTGTACGTCGTCAACAATTTCAAATGAATTAGTTTCTTTTTCCACAATCAAAAATCACTTAATTTATTAAAAATCAAACAAATAAAAGAAAAGTTCAGGAAATTTATATATACATTTATTGATGATTTTTATTAATTGACATATCCTTCAAGTAAAATAAAAATCAAAAAAAAAACAATCGGCCCCTTGGACATCATTGTATCGAACCCTAACCGCCAAATAGATGTAAGCTGCATTTTTTCAAAATTTTATTTTTGATGCAGAAATGCATCCAGGAACCTTTCTACATCAAAAATAAGATTTTGAAAAAATATATATACAAATAGAAAATGTGGTGGCAAAAGCTTAGGAAAACATGCTGGAGATTTGGAAAGACATTTAAAAGCAGTCCGTTTGAAACTATAAGAAAGCTATGTTCCGATAAATTTCAGTTGCATTCAGTTGTGTTGTGTGGCACTAACTTTATATTTCGTTTGTTTCCCTATTTCCCTACATGCAATTGTTTTGTTTGCGTTAGCTATCGCGAACGCTAACAGATTGAAATTACCGCTCGCAAAATGTTTTCGAGTGACCTTTTTCTTGCGTTCAGAAGGTCGTTCGTTCACGCAAGTCATAGGGGTACTTGGTCACGTAACTGTCAGTATATGTTGTATTACTTTCGAGTTGGGATATTTTATGAAACAACTATTTATGAGTCAACGGAAGAAGGCGGCGAAGAATATGTAAATATATGAATGAATCGAAGTTTGGCAGTAGAGTTAGCAAAAGTGCTTTAGTAGGTTATGTTAACTCTAACTCAGGAGAGCACACTCGGGTTGGCCTTACCAGAAAGAAAGTGATACAGGGAGTGTGGGATACGGCGGGAGAGGGATAGTGGGACATGGCGACTAGTCTTGGCGAATAGAGCACTCAATGAAAATCAAGGGTATATGCAACTGCAAGGTACTTTTGAATGCAGGCGGTCAACGGATCCTTCTTGGGTTTACAAATATCATCGGTATTGACATTTTTATAAACATTTATCGATAAATGCATCGAAATTTTTGCGGTTACTTTATATTTTATATAGATTTCTTCATATTTTTCGATACCTAAACCGACATATTAATCGATATATTAATCAAAAAAAAATTTAAAATCTTCCATGTTCCCATGTTCCATGTTCCAGCACGTTAAAGATATGCGAATTTTTTTGGCTACATTCAAGAACTTACCTATTGCATCTGAAAAAAGGGGAAAAAAACATTTTATTAGTTTTAATATTTGATTTTTTTTTTTCATTTAGGCATAAACATTTATTTATTCGCATACTTTTAGGTACTCGTAATCGCACAACTATGCATACATCTATATTTAAAAAAAAAATATGCATAAATACATGCACACGTAGTACATAACAACAAATTTCAATTAAATATCCCATAAATATTAGTTACATAAACTTTAATCTGACATTTAACAGTAGTTAAATTTACAAATGAATTTTTATGTGCGCAAGCAAACGTCGTGCAAAAAATTCATTTCCATAAACTTTTTGCGTATCCCGTAAACCAGTTTTAATATTACCGCATTTTTTCGAATATTTCCCTTCATTATTATGCCGCAGACAAATTTATTAGCTGGAATTTAGCGAACATCAAAACCAATAAACAACGAACAGTTAAAAATGAAGCAGCATAAATAAACTGTTTACGAAATGCCTGTCAGTCAGTCACTCAATGCTAATAAATAATGTAAATATAAATATAAAAACTGAAGGCAAATAAATGTTTAAAACTAGAAATAAATACCGTAAAAACTCAAACATTTACACTGAGTTGAGCCGAGTTGAGCCGAGTCGAGCTGATTATTAAGCCATGCGTTTGGTAGTCAGTCATTCATATTGGCTGGCAGCGGAAATTTTCATCAACGGTCAATATACTCGCATTAATCAATCAAAGAGCATTTTCAACACAAAAATACAAACAAAGAAAAAGCCCGAACGAGCGCACCAACGCATCAACGCAAAAACACTGGTCGGCTGAAGCTTTTCAAATTTGACGGGTTCTTTTTTTTTTTTTAATGCTTTAAAATTTGTTTCATGTTCTATACCCATTCCATGACTTTTTTGTTCCGCGCTTCAGCGGCTAAACAAACCAAATTCGTAGCTCCGCCCCGGAGCTAGAACGTTATCCGGCAATGCTGGCAAACAACGATTTTCAATACTTAGTGTTAAATTTTGAAAATCGCATAAGCACAGCAAATGCGCCAACTACATGCGCACACACATGCCTATGTATGTGCATTAGGGTGGTAAAGGAAAACATGTATGGTGAAAAAGTTTAAATTTCAAACTCTACCCCCTGGGATTTTTTTTTTTTTTTTAAATAGAAAAAAGGAAGACCTGTATTTTTTCTTTAAAAAACATTATACTTAGAACTACCTCAAAGCCCATGAAGCCCCAAAAAATGCAGTTGGGGCCCTTAAAAAATCCTTAGATAGTATTAGAAAATGCTAAAATAAAGGATCGCATATTATCATTGTAAGTCTAATGAAGAGAAACACAGTTTCCCGCTCAAAAAATATTGATTTTGAAGAATTCTATACCTTTTCTACGAAAAGGTTCTTTTTTCTCATATAAACTACATGGAAAACTCCATGGGCTTTGAGGCAGTTCTCACTATCATTTTTTTACAAAAATACTTTAACTTTTTAAACACCCTAATGTGCACACATTAATAGCGAAAAGTCAGCGGAGAATTAGCGACTGACTACCCGCAAAAGGAAAAAATAAAAAATGAGCATCCTGGCGTCAGCAATTTATTTCAATCGATGGGATGGGAGGTAAGTGCAATAACTGACAGCTGCTGAATCGAATGCGTTAAGATAATATCTAATAAAAAAAAATTTAACACATTTCTCCCAATGATTCCAGCCATTATTGGTTTCCTCGCTGCGCACTTTTTCTATTCACAAATTTTCACTGCCTAGATACATACCTATCTACTAAACCTTATATAACTGCGCACTTGCATAAATTGAATTCGTAATTTGAGCGTCCAAAATAGCTAGGCGATTTATTACAATCGTGAAAAAAGATAGCCACCAAATGAAAGCTAGAGAGAGCTTAGCATAATTTTGGGCGAACATTTTTTTGAAAATTTAATTTAAACTTGATGGATTGCGTTTGAAAAATATACACAAATTAACACACAAAAACACGTACAAAAACACACAAGCGTAATTTACACAGTCACACCTTACATGCATTCACACAATCAACGTAGTTAATCGCTTGCGCAACGTAAGTTGTTTTTGATTGGTGGCTATTTTGTTAGCATTGTGGTTATGTAAGCGGTTTAGCTTAGCCAACGTAGCCACAGCCACCGTCAGCTGAAATGATTGAATGGCGTTAATAAGTTCTTAATTGCCTAAAAGTATATTATACTATATGTAATAGTGTTGAATAAATTATGAAACTGAATTTTAATTTGAAAATTGTGTTGTGTTGGGTTTGAAAACAATTAGTTGCCAAGCAGTGGTAAATTAAACGGGTACTTTTGAAGGTGTCTAAACCCTTGAAGACTAAGAGAAGCAGTTTTCGTTTACAAAGAGTTATTGGGCTCAAGGGAAATCTTGTGTTAAATTTTTAACATTGGAAGTGAATGCGTGGGCAGAAAGGGCTGCGTGGAACGCTTAAAGCCAAAGGGGAGGGATAGAGACGAAGAAAGAAAAACATTTACAAAAAGGCACAAACGAAGACAAAGAGAAAGACTAACGGCCCTACTCTAGCAAAGTAACAAAACTCAGCGCATCGCTATAGTGATTTCTACTGCGCCTCAAAATATGCTACAAAAATTACGTTTTAAAAGCTAAAGAAATACAAAAAAAATTAAAAGATTTGTTTTGTAGTAGCATACTTTGAGGCGCAACAGAAATCACAAATAGTGACAACATAAACCAAGTTTTGGGGACACACTTTAAGGCGCAGTAGTTAAATCAATGGATATGAGATAGGTTTTGCCATTGCCGTAGGAATAGGGCGGTAAGGCTGACATTTTTGCCATAAATGATATTTACTTACCGGAAGCTCCTAGAACAATATATTTTGATATAAAAAATGGAGATAAAAGAGAGAACCGTTTTAAAATAAGACAATTTAGGCAACTTCACATACGCGTTTTTGTACTTAAGACGACGATATTGAAATTTATATAAATTTGTGGATTATGAAACGAACTAGAAATAGATAGAAAGCCTAACTTCTGGAGTGCTTTTTTTGCTTTTTAAAACTGCCTAATTTAGATAAAGCTATTTTCAATTTCAGTTCTTGAAAAAAATTTGCGAACTTAAAAATAAAAAATAAGATAAAAAACTCGAAAGTGCCAAATTGTGATTAAGCGATTTTTTATATTAAAAAATATATTGAGGGCTTATATTCAATACCTTCCATCTGCAATTTTCACCAAAAGGAGATTTTGATATCAAACTGAAAACCTACTTAACTGTCATCGGTGATATTAATGCTGACCTTGTACAACGCTTGACAGAAGAATTTACTGTAAAATTACAAAGTTAAGATTAACGTCAGTGATGACAGGTAAGTCCCAGATGGGTTCTAACATCACCAAGTAGTTTTTGTGAAAATTGCAGATAGAAGGTATTGAATAAAGGCTATTATTTTTTTAGTACTGAAAGTGTAAGAGAGATCATCACTGACTGAGGAAGACAATTAGACAATTGCATGATATTCCAATTTTTTTTTTTTTTTGTTCGCAGATGTTACGGCTTTCTTCCATATAAAAATAATTTCGGTTTATTCGTTAAATGGTACAAAAATCAAAGTTAATTTCAATGCTTGCTCAGAATCTTTCTAGGAAATCTAATTTGTTAATTTTTTTTTTTTAATATTGCACAAAGTTTGAAACTTGGATTTACACGGGTTTTGTTAAAGAATGAACTATATTTTTGTAAAAACAAATAACTAAAATTAAATAACGAGAAAAAGAATATGTTTAAACTTGTCAAAATATGGTGCGGCTATAATTTTTTTCAACCACTGTATTATGTAGTCGCAGTCATAATAACAAAGAGCAGATCAGACACCATCAAACTATGAAAGAGCTGCAATTGAGCAACGCTCTCCACGCACACAATCAACCATCGAATAGTTTGGATGTGTGTGAAGACAAAAACGAAGTTTTCATGTGAGCTATCCGCCGGTGGGCAGAAGTAAACGTTTTTCAGCTCACTTACTTTTGTTCAGTAGGTAGTTTAGAGCTGAATACTTCGCATATTCTAGGATCCGGATTAAAAAATTAAAATTTATTTCAATGTAAATATTTATGCCATTGAAAGGGCTGTGTGGGAGTTTTCAATTTGCCTTCAAGTTCCTTCTATGATGTTTTTCCACCGCTTTTGGTCAAAATAAATGCAAATTCATATGCCTCGGACCCGAACACTCCAAGAAACGCCGTTTTAGTGCATAAATATTTGCATTTTAATCACTTTTAATTTTTTCTAATTCTGCGACTACCAACTTCAAATTGAAAAGAAACGCTTAAAATTGCCAACCTGGAAAAACTAAAAAATTACTTTTCTACATATATACCATCCAGGCTTTCAGAAAAACTCGGTTTCATCAATGCTCCATAAAAAGAACTGAAAATGTCGTACAGTGCTATTGTCCATATCATATCTTAAGTGTACGGCCACAGTTTCGACTCTGTAAATCTGATTGTCGTCTTCACAGTCGCTTCTTTTGAATCTAATTCCGACGAACTTATAAAATTTATTAACATGGCTTATTTACCATTCCGGATCGGAGTAAATTAAAAGCACTAGGTCCAGGATTATGTCTACATAAAATAAGTATACGTATGTATGTATGTGTTTATGTACAAAAACATTTGAAGGTCGATAATAAAATCCGCTTCACAAATTGAGGGCCGTGTGTAGAAAAAAAAAAACAACGTCTCTAACCAATATGGTAAATCAGTTGTCTCATCTCTTAAAGGCTTTGTTTTCAAGCTTTAAAAAAGTATGACCACGTCGAAGAATATTTATTTTTCCAAGTGTTACTCGTTCGGAAAACTTTGAAACCACGCATTAAACGATTTTGTCAAAATCTGAAGTAGTTATAAATATTTTAAATTTCACACAATTTGTTTCATTACTTCTATGAGTTATAGCACACAAGTTAACAAAAAAAAAACAACAAAATATTAGCGCAATATTTAATTAA